GGGAAGCAAACCGGATTTTTCCGGCTTTCGGAAAAAAGCCGAACGGGCCGTGTGAGAAAGAACATCCTAAATAAAAACGACTTTCGGCTAAACGCTCCACAAGGAAACCTAGTTTTTCTTAAAAATCTGACTATAAATATAGATCTTTTCTCGAGTCCGGGAGGAGCCGGCTCTCCTCGTCCAGCAGCGGACGCTCGCACGCTTTTCTAAAAACACTGGAAAACTTCGGGCTTACAAAAATAAGTCGGAACGTCTCTCCACCAACTCTGCAGCTCTATTTTTTTTTTTTTAATCCTTAAATACAAAAAAACAAAAAGCAAACAGAAAACGGGGGGTCTGCAGGCCGAAGGGAAACCGGGAAGAGGACAGGGAAAATCTAATAAAATTAAAAAAACAGGACCCCTGTTCGGATCCCTCCTTTAAAAGCAGCAGCAGCCCCCCCGGTCTGGCTCCGCTCCTGGTTCTGGACCAAAGTCTGGACTAAAGACCAGACCGAAGTCTGACTAAAGGCTGGACTAAAGACCAGACTATAGACCAGACTAAAGACAGGACCGAACCTGGTTCTGGACCAAAGTCCGGACCAAAGTCTGACTAACGACCAGATCAAAGACCGGACTAAAGACCAGATCAAAGTCCGGACCAAAGTCCAGACTAAAGACCAAACTATAGACCAGACTATAGTCTGACTAAAGACCAGACCAAAGACCAGACTATAGACCAGACTAAAGACCAGACTAAAGACCAGATCAAAGTCTGACTATAGACCAGACCAAAGTCCAGACTGAAGACCGGACCAAAGACCAGACTAAAGACCAGACTAAAGACCAGACCTTGTTCTGGACCAAAGTCCCGACTAAAGACCAGACTATAGACCAGACCAAAGTCTGACCAAAGGCCAATCCTGGTTCTGGACCAAAATCCAGACTAAAGACCGGACTATAGACCAGACTATAGACCAGACTAAAGACCAGACTATAGACCAGACCAAAGACCGGACTAAAGTCCGACTAAAGTCCAGACTAAAGACCAGACTATAGACCAGACTATAGACCAGACTAAAGTCAGACTAAAGTCCAGACCAAAGACTGACTAAAGACCAGATCATAGGCCGGACCAAAGGCCAATCCTGGTTCTGGACCAAAGTCCGGATTAAAGACCAGACTAAAAGCCGGACTAAAGACCGGACTAAGGACCAACTAAAGGTCCGACCAAAGTACGACCGAAGTCCAGACTAAAGGCCGTCTAAAGACCGGACCAAAGACCAG